GAGACAAGGGGCAGGACCATTTGTGACACCATGGATGAGGAAGAGTACAACAGTACAAATAATGATCTGCCTGTGTTGGGGTGACTCAAATCTAGAACTAAAATTGATTTTCGTGCTATTGGCTGGCTGGTGTAGTAGCTAGTAGTAGCTAGAGTCATTTGTCTTGAAAAGATAAATATATTGGTATCTTTCATAATCAAAGTTGTTAGTTTTGCAAGTGCCCACTAGTGAAATGATATTCTGTGCATTAATGCAGATGAACTTGTAATGAAGTTTGTCTTCCTCTGAGAAGATTCCGCGTGTGTACCTTCGTTTTGTTCGTCGACAAGCTAATAGCCGGTGTGGAATGATTCTTTTCATGTATGCATGGAGTGATGCTTTACTGTTCTTGCATGGAGACATGAACACGACTTTTGGCTGCTAGTAATTATACAAATTTTGTCTTTTTCAAAAATAGTAAATTAAGTTAATTAATTAATACACTAATATTGCCGACTTGCTTGTTTTTTGGAACAAAAAATTGCTCATAGGTGCTTTAAAGCTTATCTTCTCGACGGGCAGCCGCCACATGGCCATAAAAAGACACCTCAACTTTCTCTCTCTTATCCGTTTGCTTTTCGTCATCCACTCGACCAGAAACAAAAAACTAGAAAATATCTTACTTTCGGAGTGAAGGGCAGCGTTCTCATTCAAATCACTTGGAAAAAAAAAAAAAAGCCACCACAATGATAGCGATATCTAGAGATGTTTGGTAATGCTGTGTCGTATTTAGAGTTGCAACTACTAGTTAGATTTTATATTTGTTTATTTAGAAATTATTAATTTAAATACAACCAATTTTAGAGTTATCTAGTTATTAATTTTAAAACTTCCTCAGCATAAGCTGGTCTTGATATTTATAATTAATAATATACATTAATTTTTTTAATTTTTTTATATTTTTTATATTTTAATATTAAAAAAATTATTTTGATAAATTTTTAAATAAAGAGTAATTTAAAATACAATACTCGTGGAGAATGAGGTGTCATGAGGCTTCAAGATCTAGGTCCACTAAACCTAGGCCGATGCTAATTTAATTTGATTACATGTTAATTTGCCTCTTTTCAAGTCCTCTATACACAGGCCTTGCTCTATTGGGCCATTATTTCATCTGCCACGGGCTTGCTCCGAAGTCCGAAACTAATTAGTCACGGAATTGGGGGCGCGGGTACGTGGGCTTCCGCGTTCACATTTAAACCATGCGGATTAGAGTATTGTTTGGAAGTATTTTTTATATTTTAAAATAATATATTTTAGTCTTTAAAATTTATTTTTAACATTAAAATAAAAAAAATTATAAAAAAATATTTAAAATTATAATTATTTTTAAATAAAATAAAATAAAACATCTTAAAAAATAATAAACATCTAAAATGGAATCCTTTTTTTTCTTTTTTATTTGTCGCTGTCATATTTTATGTGTGTAAAAGGAGAATAACCGAAAATCAACCTGAAATGCTATCAAAAATAAATGAAAAGCAATTTTTATAACAAGATACTCGAAAATTTTATATCCTAGGTCAAAAAATATGAATTATAATACACTGGAATTTCAATAAATATATTGTTAACATATTAAAAATATTTAGTTAAAACTAATTAATAACAACGTAAACTAAATTATATATAGAAATAGTTTACACAGTAATCATAATACACTGGAATAATAATAATAAATAAATAAAAGACATCGAAGAATAAAAAATAGTTTTCTTGCAGCAGTGGCGCTTGCCATCATAAATAGAGATTTCTCTAAAAAGAGTATAAATTGAGAAAAATATTACTTATTTTACCAGAATCTTAGCTCAGTAATGGGTTCTTACGATAAAATTTCAAGAAAAACTAAGATGGTAGCTGATGATTTCTTTTTGAAAAACAGTGAATGAACGAACAGAAAATTGGTCCTACCTCTGCAAATCTCCCTCCCACTCCTTCATTTACCATTAAATGCTGATCTTATACGCACTGTACATCATTTTCGATAAAATCTCTCATCTCTTTTCTTGCGTGCCAAACTGGCTCCATTAATGCACGATATTTGATTCAGTCTTGATGATCGAAATCTTATACAACTCGTAAAAGCAAATCAGTCAAGTCATTGAAGACTAACGTGCTTAGCTTTCTTTAAAGTATAGAGGAGGTTGATCTTTGAGGTGGAATCTTCTTTGCCCACAGCAACACTTCATTTGCAAAGCTTTATTGAGCACAAGGTTTGAAAAAACTGTTATTTTTGCCTATAAACTACTACACAGCCCATTCGCCAGCACTCGATCGACAATATATTCCTGAATTTAATACTATTTTTCTGTCTGATCAAACAGTAGATAAGTTGCCTACAAGGTTCTAGACCTCAGTTCATGCACATCGTTGTTAAGTTTATTTCATCAATCAACAGCGAGAGCAAGGGATTATATATATTAAAAAGGAGTAACGATGGCCAAGAAAACAATAAAACAGCATTCTTGCTGGAGTTATTTGCTTGGAAAAATTACTAATCATTGTTACAAGAAAAGCATTAATTTTTAGAAAATTAGCAAGGCCATGTCACGAATAATCAATGCTTACTAATTAAAGTTTCCTGGACAGCATATTTCTTGAGTCGATAAATTACTTGAAACAATCAAGCTACCTCTAATTAGTGGCGTTATTAGTAATTTCTATCTAGATAATTAATAATGTAAAAGATAAACTTACAAACCAACTAGGCTAATCCCTTAAGGGATTGATCATAACACGATATAATAACTTTTTTTTTTATGGATTAATGCTCTATATTTATTTTATTATTTTTTTAAGGTTATGTGTTAATAATTTGGAAGATAGCTGGGTGACAGCCAAGAGAGCATTTTTAGGGCCGGGGGAAGTGAAGAGAAGGGACGGAGCCAGGATCTTAGGTTAGGAGGGGGCAAATTATAAAAATAATTTATAGGGAGCTAAAATTTAAAATTTATTTTCAAGTGGTAATCTAAAAAATACAAAAAATACAACAATAATAAATAAATTATTAAAAAACTAGATAAAAAAATAAAAAAAAAACAAATTTAAACCATCTGAGAAATCACGTAGCCAAGTACTAATCTAATAAAAAACAAATCTAAAAAAAAAAGAAGAAGAAGAAAAAAACAGGAGCTTTTAAAACAGATAAAAAAGTTTAGATAAACCTCTTAAACCTAGTCTAAATTATATAACTTGCTTTTCATTAAATTCTAGACTTGATTTCCATTAAGAAATTTAAATGTTAATCAATTTAATTTTAAATAATGAACTTGTTAAAAAATATTAATAAAAAAACTTGCAAGAGCACAAAAAAATAAGAAATAGAATGAGAATAAAATTTGAAAGAAAAACTTGAATATGATTAAATTTGTAAAAAAAACAATTTCAAAAATTATTCAAAACAAAATAAATAAAAATAAAATTTAAAAGATTAAAAAACTAAAAAAATAAATTTAAAAAAACGTTTATGATTTGGTAGATTATTTATAGATTAAAAAATAAAAAAAATATAGAGGATTGACTTAATAAAATCGAATAATGAAAAAAACATCAGCTTAATTTTTTTATTATAAAAAATAAAATAATTTATTTATTTTTATTTATAAGAACCTGTTTTTCATTTACTAGGCATATAAAATCCATCGACAAAAATACATTTTTAATTTTAAAAAAAATAATGTAATCAACGGAGCTACACAATGCCAATAACAACGCTTACTAGTCTTATTGTAAGAACCCACTCAACCACTACTCATTGGGCAGAGATAATGTCGGCCCAGGAAAGGCAAATCATTAGAAAAGGTAGCTTCTTGAAATAACATGTTCTCTTCTTTTTTTGGGCTCAATGAACTGTAACGAAATGATGGGAGAGCAGTTGACACCAACGCACTCAATTAGACCCAGTGCTCATGAGTGCACCTTAAGTTTGAATTCCAGCACATTTCCAATTCGTTTGCTTTTAGGGTTTTTGCTGAATTCTTCTTCGTATATTTAGATGCAAGATATGATGATGATGAATAAAATTAGGCAACGAGAATCCACGTCATTAGAAACGTAAACTGAACAATCAAGGAGACGCCTTCTGCTACTTTGCCTCGTGCCTATTCTAATTAATTAGAGGAAGAGGCCCGCATGCCTAGTGCAGGGATCTTCGCGCACTTCAAATCAATATTATATACTAAGAAAATACCAGAACTATATATACATGAGTAAATCGAGAAATAAATTTAATTTATAATAAAAAACAAATTTTAATAAAAAAATCAACTAACCAAATCTCGAGTTATTGAGTCAGTAAATTAACTCATCTGACCAAACAAAGTCTTGATACTAGGAAATGGACCGCTTGATCGATCTCCCAAAAAGTTAACGCAACAAAATGCATTGACTAAGCACTCTTCGCGCACTTCAAATCAATATTATATGCTAAGAAAATACCAGAACTATACATGGGTAAATCCGAGAAATAAATTTAATTTATAATAAAAAAAATCAACTAACCAAATCTCGAATTATTGAGTCACTAACTTAACTCATCTGACCAAACAAAGTCTTAATACCAGGAAATGGACCGCTTGATCAATCTCCCAAAAAGTTAACACAACAAAATGCATTAACTAGGCGCATTTAATGGGACTGCCCTCCATACAGAATGTTGTGCCACCTGGCCTGTATTGCTTGGAAATTCATGCACTTGTCAGTCACCGTATTTTCTTCTCCTCCACCTTACTTGCTCTGGGTTGGGTAGATGTAAGGACATGTCGTGCCTAACTCAAAAAAACTTAGTGTTTAATTGTGTAACTTATCTAATTAAATTTTATTTTTTAAAAATTATTAGAAGATACCCATATTAATCTTTAAAAAACCCTTGTATGCTGGCCAGTACTAATCAAACATATCGGATATAAATTGAGATCTTTCAGGTGAGAGTAGTGATGGGATTAATTCCTCAACATTTTATGTTGAGCTAGCTAGCTAATTGAAGGATGCAGGAGTAGCTAGTTGAATCAGCTGAAGAAGGGAGTGGAGAATAGAGATGGGCCATAGGTGCTGCAGCAAACCGAAAGTTAAAAGAGGCCTGTGGTCTCCTGAAGAAGACGAGAAGCTTATCAAATATATCGCTGCTCATGGTCATGGAAGCTGGAGCTCTGTCCCTAAATTTGCAGGTATAAATGTGTGTTTTTGTGTGTGTTAATACCACCTTTTGTTTTTAGCATGCATTAGAAACCAAAATCAAGCTATCTGATCTATTTTTGACGCACACTTGCTTTGTGCTTGCAGGTTTAAAAAGGTGTGGTAAGAGTTTCCCTAAATTTGCAGGTATAAATGTGTGTGTGTGTTAATACCACCTTTTATTTTTAGCTTGCATTAGAAATCAAAATCAAGCTATCTGATCTATTTTTGACGCACACTTGCTTTGTGCTTGCAGGTTTAAAAAGGTGTGGTAAGAGTTGCCGGTTGAGATGGCTGAACTACTTGAGACCAGAACTCAAGAGGGGTTGCTTTTCTGCAGTAGAAGAGCAGGTCATCATAGATGCTCATAGAATTTTGGGTAACAGGTAAGGATTCTAAATAAGGAAGTGTATAAAAAGGTAGAAATTAAAATAAATAAATGAAACATTGTTTCTAAAGATTGGGACAGTAGATCACTAGATCGATGACACATGAATAAAGTAGAACAATTACTAATTAGCCTATATATTCTTTCACTGCATTTTGATTACAAGAACTTTATTCTTGTAACAGATGGTCTCAGATATCAAAACATCTCCCAGGAAGGACAGATAATGAGGTGAAGAATTTCTGGAACTCAAGCATAAAGAAAAAGCTCATGGCACAAGGCTTGGACCCAAAAACTCACAACTTGATTCCTTCTCACCAGAGGGCAGCTAATAAGGTTGCATGCAATACATCACCATCTAACCACCAACCCTTCTCAATTATCTCCAGGGATTCAAAGATGAAAGATGTTTCCATGAAGATAAACCCTCCTATTCTAACACTAGCTTCCCCTTATCCTACTAATGGCAGCACTCGACCTTCGTTGCTTCAAACAACAACCGGCTTACCCTTGCCCACCTCTTGCTATGATAACCCTAGTGTCATTTGGAATGTAAATACTCAAAATTCTTATGATTCCTCCCTTTTTCCTTGCGTGTCATCCATTGAGAACTCACTCGTTTCCCCTTCATCTTCGACTTCGGTGAACCCAACTGGGTTTGGTCTCCTAGATGAAGATTGCTTTTGGAGTTGTAGTAACATTGTTGAGCCCTTTGAAGCCGCAAAATTATTCGAAAGCATGCGACCACAGGATCAAGAAAACCAGCTGAACAAGATTTGTGACACACAAATCGTTGATAAGAATAAAGGAGTTCATGTTAATATGGATGCTTCATTTGGCACCTCTAGCTATGATCTTGAGTTGGTCGACTCCACATTATTTCCTGGTTCAATGTGTCGTGATCTTAGCTCCATGGATGATTTTTCATGGAACTTTTAGGCCACCATATGCGTTTATGTAACTAGCGCTACGGTAATAGATAGTAGGTTTTGCTCAGGTTGTGCATCCCAAATATTTGAAAAGAAAAAAACGCTTCCATTTCTCGCTAAAAATTGGGGAGTGAAGTTATTTGTGATACCAATCAATTCCATTATTCATCTAAATTGGGAAGGTGCTCTTAGATGTTAAGTAATCATAGATAGCCATCGCCTTAATTAATTTTCCCCAAACGCATGTTCTCCACCATCCCGTGAGTTTTGATGCTATGAGAAAATTTTGATTAAGCCTAGTCCTGGAGTTTGCCTCTTTGTTGGTGTTCATCCATCAATTTTGTTTTTATATTTTCAATTTTTCCTTTTATATATATTATCTAGTATGAATTAACTGAGACAAATACTAAAATTTATATGAATGAAACGTTAGTTTTAGATAACATGAGATTAAGTAGGTCAGTCGAAAAAAAGAAAAATTAAAAAAAAAACATTTAGGTTAGAAAAGGTAAATAAGAGATTTCATTTCTTTTTTAGAATTCTTAGTCAAGATTCTAACAGAGAACTGGAAAAAAAAAGTACAAATATAATTTGAGAGTGTATAGGAGACGGAGATGGTGATGGTTGACACTTCTTATTAAAAAGTATTTTCTATCATATTAATTATAAGTTAAACTTAATCTTGTATTGTCAAGTACCGTGTTAATAAAAAATATACCTTTTTATCATATTTTTTAAATTGAAAAAAAATGTCTTTCTTTAATTATTTTTTAAAACTCCAATTTTTTCATTCTTATATTTTGAATTAAATTATGATATTTCATAAATCTTAATGATAAATTTGAAATTTACAAAGAGTGGAATAAAAATAAAAGATGCAGAGTTTAATTCAAACAAATTAAAAGTTCAATTTTTTTTATAATTAAAAAGATCATAGAATTAATAGCCAAAATAAATCACAGTGACATGAAAAAAGAAGAAGTTCAAATTGAAGTTGAGAAAATGCACAAACCTTGAGAATTAGTTGAATTTCAATTTAAATTTCAAGAAAAGGGATATCATGAGCAACATTATTCTTATATATATATATATATTGTGGGCGTAACATAATGCTTTTCTTCATTGCTAATAAGAGTATGTGGTATATCAATAATGCTTTTCTTCATTGCTAATAAGAGCGTTATGTATGTGGTATTGGCTCACTAAAACAAAGAATTAATCTAATTATGCAGTTGAATCTCCTAGACAGACAACATCAAACTTTTCCCATAAAATGTCAGCATAATCATCTGGTGCATATTTAGCCCTCTTCCCTTCTTTGTTTTACATTAACGCCCTTAGATATAAATAATTTGAAGTCCATTACCTAGTCGGCTAATTAATTGGGCCTTCAACTCGCCCCCGGCCACTTCCTGATGGGTCCATTCTAATTACCTAGCCCGTGATGATTGTGGTACGAAAGTTACCAAATGGGCCCGTATCTAAAAGCCCATTTACTCGTTTACTAGACCCAGCCCATTCAATTCTCTTTCTTTTCTGGTTCCCATCGGCTTGAAGGCGGAAGCAGTCCGCATGGCCATGGCCCATGGGACTCTACCAGCAGCCTCCGTCCCCATCCAAACAAATCTTGCTCTACTGACCTGGGCGATGACCATTCATTCGGTTCTTCCTTTATTTATGTTAATTTTCTTGAAATACCGCTTGGATTTTCGGAATTACATTTCTAAGAGTAAAAAAAAAAAAAAACAGTGACGGCACTCGAATAATTTGTTCTGAAATTCTCTATCGTGTTTTTTTCACCGAACAATTTTATCAAATATTTCGAAAATACAAAACCTGAAAGGCCCTTGATTTTATGGTTTATTTACTGCTCCTTCAGTGCGCCTATCTGGTAGCATGGGGGACCTCAATATTTTGCAAACAATCTTACTTTCCTTGCTACTGTCATGTGGTGTTTCTATGCATTAAAACTATATTCTTCTTCTCAAACCGAATAAAAATATATTAAAAATGTTTGGAAATTAACTTCCTCAACTTGTAGCCGAAGCTACTCCCATTCTGGTGGACCTACATTAATCCGTGGGTTTCAAAGAAAATACATGATAATGATAAGAGCCTCCAACCTCCTACGTCCAATATCTTTGCCCTTTCGACATTTTACCCAAGGCTTTTTTCTTTTCTTTTTTTGCCGTTACATATCCAAGCAGTTAAATTTTCCACTCGGCATCGGGAGTTGGGACTATTATTTTTTATTTTGGCTGAATAAGCAACGCGATCATCATCAGTTCTCACCAGTGTAAAATTAATATGGAGTCCCCTAAGTTACTGTGTGAGCATTATGGGCTCACACCATGATATCACGGTTTCTTTATAACAGAGAAATCTTTTGTGCTTTTACTTTGGCAGAAACAGTTGATTATAATTCCACAGTGAAACAGAGACACGAATTTCCTTTTCCAGTCTATTTTCAAAGCTGGCCGAGAAGTTTCAACAATTGTATGGAAAAAAAAAACGAAAGATAAAAACAGAAAAGGAAACGATGGCATGCCTTGACCCATCCTTGTATAATGAAGTACGTGTATAACCTGATCATGTGGTTGGCAAAATAATCCCCATTTTTCTCTTCTTTTTTATGCAGCCCGTCACAATATATCCTACCTTTGTGCAGTCAAATGAATTCTAGTAGTGATACAATATCTGTAAGGAACATTAACAAAAAAAAAATATTTGTTACTTTGTGGTCATCCTAATTAGTGGCTCTTAGTCTTGCATGGGGAGTACAGTATTGGAGTTGTCTTGGGAGGAACATAAAGAGAAGATCTCTTCTAGTGTTCCGTTCATGCAATCCTTGTACATCATGTAGTCGTCGATTATTTCAGGCTTCGATGGCTTCATACTCTCGGGGATACTAATCTGTGGGAAATCCTCAAGTTCTAAAGGTGGGAACGGAAATTGATAATGCAAGCTTGAGCAGTTGTGCATCTGCATGTCCTGCATCCACAGCATGTCGTGTGATTAATAATTGGTCTCGTACCCAGAAAACGAGGGGGGGGGAGAGAGAGTTCAGAGGGGAGTTGGAAAAAGCAACTCCTTTTGAAAATTAATTAAAACAGTAAACCTAGCAACATGTTTCGAACTGCAATTTTTTTCAAAATGTGACTCAAATGGGGGAACATATGCATTGGAAATGGTGATGTTTGTGGTGTCACATATAGTAGACCCAGAGAGAAAAATCAGGAAGAAAGATGTTTGAACTTTGAATTATGTTCTAGTCAGTCAAAAGAAGTTATTGGAGATGGTGAAAAAAAAGCTAATTTGAGTCAGTGCTTGAGAGATTTTTAGAAGGAAGCTTTAGGAAAAGACAGGGAGCTTCATTGCTTCCAACTTTTGTTGCTTTAACTTAGATCAAAAGAAAGAAAAAACTCAAGGGCTTGTGTTGTGGGCCATTTCCAACACATACTGGCCCGAGGATTGTACTTTCGTTCCCTGCGTGAAACACAACCACGTGGTATTTCCCATGGTGTGAACATGAAGCTTTCGCATCAAGGCAGAATATTGCTGGAAATGTGGTTTTGGCAAAAGAGATGATCATGTCATGATCAGAAAAGGATGACTCGGAGAAGATGATTATTGCATGTGAATCTTGGTATGGCCCATACCATCAATAACCTAATGTTTTTTTTATTATCCTTCCATGCCACACACTTAGACGTGTGTGTGTGTATATATGCCACACACTTAGACGTGTGTGTGTGTGTGTGTGTATACGTGCAGTTAACTAAATAATTACTAATTCTAGGACAGACATTAACTAGTTACCAGCAGATCAAACCATAAAAAAATTAAATTAATGTGTAAAAGGAACCTTGCTAATTGTACCTGTATTAGATTTGACGAGAAATCCACGCCCATTGAATAAAGGCTAGCCGAACTGTTGGCTTCATCTGAGGGAAACGGAGCTTGTAAATCATCGGCTATTGCAGTTTCAATTGGAGTCCCTTGAGTGACATCCGAGGAAGATGTTTCACATGGAAATTTACAATAGTCATTGTTGAAGTTTTCATCTTCAGCTTCTCTCCCTTTAGAACTTTCAATACCGGTTGTGTCATCCCCTAATAACTGTTCTTCTGAGACCCACGCTGCATCCTTCTCTTCATTCCCGTTATTTTTTTCTTCTTTCTTTTTTGGAATATGTATTGTTTTCTTGAAAACACGGCATAATGCGTAGGAATCCTGTGGTGCCAAAATAAACATAAATTTGTTAAAGAGAGGTGTACAAAGATCTGTAAAAGCAAGATCACAAAGAGCAGAAAAGGAAACAAGAAACAAAACAAAGATAATGTAAGTACATCTAAAGTCATGAAACAAAGACTCTTTCATCATCATATATGTTGATGATAAGGTATTCTTTATTAAAGAGAGAGAACATTTAGCAGGCAAAGGAAGATCTAAAATGATATGTTGGTGTATGAAAACAAGAGCAATGACTAAATGTGACAGGATCTGCTCCATATTTGTGTTTGCATATCTGTCATGTAAAGAAGCATAATCCATGATGGTTTTTCCTCGCTTGACTACATAAAGTCCTGGCTTAATTTGAACCGTGCTACTGCTCCCTGTATATAATTAATATGCTCTTGAAAATGCATTCAAAATTGTTTCTAAATTTTTTAATAATTTGAACTGGAAGAAGCTACATGGAGCACTGAAATTAATATTAATATTAATTAATTCTACCCGCATCTGAAAGATGAACATAACATACCCCTAAAAAAAAACTCTCAATTTACATCGATCTGTCATTGTTGCTAAGATTTCCTATGAGACCAAAAACTCTCTTGCAGCCGCGTGTAATTCCTATTGAAAGTTCATCACTATCTTCTACACAAAACAGACAATCAAACGCATTTATTTGTCTTTTTGTAAACCCTAATAGCCTTTTACTACTGGTCTACATATATATGAATGCCACCAAAACCACCAGATGGGGCAGATCCAACTTCATCATGATGCATGGCTC